CCCCAAAACCCCAAAACCCCAAAACCCCTCCAAAATAAAAATAATTGAAGAGCTATTGATTTAATGGGAAATTCAAAGCCTTGGCTAGAGTTTGCCTTTGACTCATCATCTCTGGCTCAATATCTTCTTCATCAAGAGTAATGTATATCTCTTCTGCCTTCTTAAACATCTCCGATGCTCTAGAAGCATCCCCATTATTAAATAGCACAATGGCATAGTTCAGATAAATTATTCAGTCAGAGTCATCCAGCTCCAGAGATTTTTCAAAAGCATTTCATGCACTCTCGAAGTCGTCAAGTCTGTTAAGTGTTATTCCGAGGTACATGTAACTATTTGAGAAATCAGGTTTTAGGTTAATGGCAGAGCTAAAGAAATGGAATGCAGATGCATATTGTCCTGTGTTCAAGTGTACCAACCCTAGATTGAATGCAGCAATCCACTGGAAAGGATCTAGATATAAAGCTTTCTTTAAACAAGCAATTGCTGCTACATATTTTTGTTTGCCGAAAAATCACATTCCAATGTTATTCCATAGTTCAGCCGAATCAGGATTATCTACTGCGGCAATTCTATACTTTTGTAAGGCAGCATCATGATCACTCTTATCCTGAATAATAGAGCCAGTAGCAAGGATAGTTTTTGGGTTTTCAGGATCATGAGTCAAAGAATTCCCCAAAAATTGAAATGCTTGAAAGTTCTCCCCTGCACGAATGTACAAAAGCCCAATTGTGGTCAAAATTTCTGGGTTCTCAGGACTAAAATCCAATCCTTCAAGAGATACTTGGATAGCTTCTCTATATTTAACTTGTGCTGTATAAACTCTCCCCAATTCAATAAAAGTTCAATCATGTTTTTGAATTTCATTTGCTTTGGTGAAGTTATCAATGGCGTCATCATAGATTCGAAGGTACTTATAACTAAGGCCCTTGTAGTAATAAATCTCCCAGTCATTTTCAGTAATCTTAAGGCATTCATCGTACACATCAATCGCGGCTTTGTGCCTCCCCAATAGGTACAGAGATCTACCAAACTGCTTCAAATAATCAATATTGGAGGGATCTAGAAGATGACACTTCTTGAACATCTCTAAGGACTCATGAATGTTGCCATTAATCCTTAAGATCATAGCCTTTACAAACAATGCGTACTCAGATTTATCCTTAGAGGAATCCAGAACATCATCTATAAGTTTCATTCACTCATCAAACTCCTGTCTGACGAATAAAATGTGGATGAGCCAGTTACTTTTGTCCTTATTTATTAATAGCTGTGACATCACTAGCGGGCATTGTTCGTGTTGCTCCACTAACTGGCATTTTAGAGGTGATCGAACTTGATTCCATTTCAGATATTTCAAATTTATTATATTTATTTGGGGTTTTGGGGTTTTGGGGTTTTGGGGTTTTGGGG